CTCCCCAACCAGCGGTATGTGTCGCCAGATGCGCGCCAACTCATGATATATCCTAACCAATCTATTCAGGCACAAGATTGTCGCCAAGCGGGGTGCGGCCTTCACTATCATGGTTGGTTCATTCGGGATACTGTCGAGGAAAGAAGCCCAATGCTCATCAGTTCATATAGGTTGCTGGTGAATCCGGCTTGGGAAAGACCACCTTTATCAACACCCTGTTCTCCACCACCATCAAGAACTACGCCGACCACAAGCGCCGTCATCAGAAGCAGATTGACCGCACCGTCGAGATTGAGATCACCAAGGCTGAGCTGGAGGAGAAGTTCTTCAAAGGTTCATACACACAACACCCTCACCGCTGGACTGGCTGCTAACGCTGCGGGTTGCCTCCCGCTCTAGTCCGCCTGACCGTCATTGATACCCCCGGATTCGGAGACTATGTCAACAACCGTGACTCTTGGCAACCGATCATTGAGTTCCTCGACGACCAGCATGAGTCGTACATGTTGCAAGAGCAGCAGCCTCGCCGTACGGACAAGATCGATATGCGTGTGCATGCCTGCCTGTACTTCATCCGCCCTACCGGACACACCCTGAAGCCCCTCGACATTGAGGTCATGAAGCGCTTGAGCTCCCGTGTCAACCTTATCCCCGTCGTTGCCAAGGCCGATACCCTCAGCCCCTCGGACCTGGCCGTTTACAAGCAGAGAGTGAGCCACTCAGCCATTGTCCCGTGCTGAAGAATGGAAGTTAATCGCAGGTGATCATTTTAGATTCGTGCTGTTATCGAGGCCCAGGGCATCAAAATCTACACCCCTCCCGTCGAGGAGGATGATGAGCATGCCGCCGCTCACGCGCGCACCCTCACGGCTGCCATGCCTTTCGCTGTTATCGGATCCGAGAAGGACGTCAAGACTACCGACAACCGGGTCGTTAAGGGTCGTCAATACGCCTGGGGTGTTGCCGAAGTTGAGAACGAGGATCACTGCGATTTCAAGAAGCTCCGCTCGATTCTGATCCGCACCCACATGCTCGACCTCATCCACACTACCGAAGAGCAGCACTACGAAGCCTACCGCGCACAGCAGATGGAGACCCGCAAATTCGGCGAGGCCCGCCCCAGGAAGCTGGACAACCCCAAGTTCAAGGAAGAAGAGGAGAACTTGCGCAAGCGTTTCACCGAGCAGGTCAAGGTCGAGGAGCAGCGGTTCCGCCAGTGGGAGCAGAAGCTCATTGCAGAGAGGGATCGCCTCAACAAGGACCTGGAGGCCACCCATGCTGCGTAAGTTTTCCAAGTTCTCGTTTATAACCGCACGATGCTAACCGCCAACAGGATCAAATCGCTCGAGCAGGAAATCGAGGGGCTGCAGGGCTCTTCTACTCGCAGCCATGGACGTCGTTAAGATACCAGAGGACCACCGGACACGACCGTGGGCCTGTAACGGACTGTGGAAAAAGCAGAAGAAATGTGCTTTCGTCTCGACTAATATCTTTACATCTGACTACCCCTTTAAATGTTTTCCTTTCCTTTTGATTTTCGGATTTTGCGCGCTCAGGGGGACCATGCAACCTGGGTCGAGATTGCCGCCCAGAGTTGTCTGGTGATTTTGCTCTTCTGATTTGCCTGCTGGTAACTAGCGATGGTTTGACTACATCTTCGATAATAACCCACTTGTACTCCGTAGCATGTCAATACAGATTTAATTATGTGCATGTGCTGCAGAGAAATAGAAAAAATAAAAGAAAACAAAAAAAAGCAAGTATGAACCGTTGGTTCCCGTTGATCCGCAGGAATGCGGAGTAACTTTGGCGGATTTGCTTGAAGCTAAAATAATATGGACCCCGCCGGCGGTGAGCCGCGTCCATCTGTTTTGTCTCCAACTTCCGCATTCCGGCCTTGATGTTGGATGTCGAGCAGTGAACAATCTCCGATCCCGCACAGCTTCACTACGCTTGTTGCTGAGAGCATTCCCTCGGTCCTTACAAAGATTGCCAATGCCAGCAATTAAACAGTTCCCCACTCAACTGGCCCACACCCTCAAAACCCACAATGGTAAGCTAGCTCCACGCCGTAAGCTCTAGAAGCTCTAGATCCCCTCTGACGTATCTCAGGCCCCGTGAACGCTGTGACGTTCTCCAGCTATCCTGGAACCTATGTCCTCACCGGCTCGACAGATCGTGCTATTCACCTCTCCCGGGCTATTCCCAACAATAACAATGCCTCCGCCGCAGAGACGACGTCCCCGATCCAGAAGTATGAGGCGCACGGGTACTCCGTGTTAGACATTGCCGTCGCAGCAGACAACTCCCGGTTCGCCAGCGTTGGTGGAGATCGCCAGGTCTTTCTGTGGGATGTCGAACAGGGAGGAACAATCAGACGCTGGAGTGGACACAATGCGCGTGTTGAGGCCGTCCAATTCGCAGGCGAAGATGACTCTGTAGTGGTGTCTGGTAAATTCGTCCCGATTCCAATTGACGCTTTTATTCGCGACCACTAACTCTTTTTGCGTCCGGTTTAGGCAGCGCAGACACAACTATCAACATCTGGGATACCAAGTCCAACTCCTACAAGCCAATCCAGACCCTCACTGAAGCCCGAGATACCGTTTCTTCCTTGCACGTGCACATGCCCACGTATTCTATCGCAAGCGCAAGCTACGACGGTCGAGTCCGAGTGTACGATATCCGAATGGGCCGCACCCTTGTCGATGTTCTCGCACACCCTGTTACTAGTGTTCGCTGCTCCAATGACGGCAATGCCCTTTTAGCATCTACAACAGACGGGCGCATCCGAATGCTGGACCGGAGTGACGGCAAACTCTTAAAGGCGTTTGGCGGCGACGATGTCAGTTCGAGTCAGGGTAATACCAGTGCCACATATCGCAAAAGCGACCTTCGAATTCGCTCTATATTCGCGAAAGCGGACGCCATTGTCCTCAGCGGGAGTGCGGCAGATGACTCCGGCAATGGCAATGATGCTACGCAGGCGTCCGTATTCGCCTGGGATGTGCTCAGTGGAGACGTGGTCGCGTGTGTCCCAGCCGGACCAGGCGTCAAGGCCGTGAGTGCTGTATCGTGGAATGAAAAGGGAAATTGCTGGGCTGGTGGTTGTTCAGATGGTATGTCTCAGCTATCAATGTCTATTTTCGTTTGTGCAACCCTCCTTTCTCTTTATTTACCACTACTATGCATTCTGACCTCGTTTTCAAACTCTACACTGTACCTGATTTTTCACTACGTGGCGCATTGCACGTGGCTAACCATCTGTCCCTCTGCTTACTGGTAACCCATCAGGAACCGTCAAAGTCTATCGCTAAGTTTAGACTGTGTTATCCGACCCTTGCTAGCTATCAAGCTAGAGCCCAGCCACTCATCAACTAATCCCGACAAGACAAGACAAGACAAGACAATACCCCAGCAACCGAGCCAGCCGGTCAACAGGCAAGGTTCCCCGTCAGCAATAATCATCATCAGCCACCAGCGCCTACGCACAGACATTCTCACCCTCTTGGCTTGGCTTTGCGCTTCCCTTCCCACGCCCCCAATGGCTCGTATTCCAACCATGACTGGATATCATGCGAACTTATAAGACAACGCCACCACCACCACTACCATCAACAGCACGTGTAGCGTGTAGCGCTTATCAATGCACACAAATGCGAACGGATGTTCTCAGCCTTGTTGCCTGCATTTATCCCCTAACAAGTACCGCTTGCTGGCTACTTGCTTGCTTACTCACTTTCCGTCCTTACCCCCCCATCTTCTTCCTTCTCGGATATCGCCGGCAAGAAAATAAAGATAGATAGATAGATTGCGTTGCGTCGCCTCGCATTGCATCAGCTGTCGTGATCATCAGATAGGTGGTGTGTGCGTGCGCCACTCCACTCCACTCCACTCCATCAGACCAAATGACATTAAAAAAAAAAAAAGGAGGAGGAGAATAATAAGTACCGACACTACGCTACTTACTATTCTTGTTCGTCTGCCGAAACAGGGAATAGGTTAGGTTCAGCCCGGATATGGTGTGGTGTATCGGTGTAGCGACTACGTATCCATCTTTTCATTGATTGGATCAGTGTGTGAGGGGGTGGAGAAACATTGAGCAGGCTGAAGCTTTTTTTTGTTTTTCTTTCTTTTCGTGCAGTTCTGTTATATTGCTCACGAGGCAGTTCAGCCTGTGGCGACAGACAGACACAGTGCGGTGGCGGGTATTTGTCCTTGCTCATCGCTCGCTCGCTCGCTCGCTCAGCCTCGAAGGAGCGCTTGGATTGTCTGAGCGCCTCACTGTCCATTGCGCAACCAATTGCGGAAGGACGAGTCTACTGAGCGATTTTGATGACGCGGATACGGGTTGGTTTGGTTGGAAGTAATACAGGATTGAGGCTCTGCAATAGACCTAATGATTTCTCATCGTGAAACTTTGTCTGTGATTCTTCTTCCATACAATTTCCAATCACCCATATGCAGTTTAGACCAGGGAATATAGATCGTCAGCCATGCTAGATACAAATCACGTATGTCCGCCTTGTAGTAATTTAAGGATCAAACCCGGGTCGAATGAACCCAAATAGACAACTCCGACCTCGCTTGCTAAAATATTGACAGTGTTAGGAAAGGTGGAAACATTGTGTCGTGGTTAGAGAAAGTAGAAAGAAGAAATTGCATGTCGCAGGAAAAAGAAGAAAATGCATATATTTCGATACATGAAACTTTTCGGCATGTATGCAGCGTAAGCCCCAGCTGCAGTCTGCTAGAAGGGAGAGTGCAAGCAAGACAAGGTCAATGCAACAAAGGGAAAATAAGGTGATGCAGCATTTTTGGTATCCGTTTGAGCATGAATCATTAAGAAAACAAGTAAGAATCGAAATAACATAAGGAAATTGAGCGTGATTGCTACGCTGAATAGCTGAAAATCAAGAATAAGCAGGGTGGAAAAAAAAAAAAAAGAATAAATGCAAAACAAGTGGATCAAGAAACTTTTTGTTGTAAGCAGAGGGAGTTCAAAGTTCGAGTGCCGTGATTTCTGTATCGGGTTCGTGGCTTTCCGCTTCGAGGGCGTCGACGGCACGATGAAGCTCGTGTTCGCCCACAATGATGGAACCCGCCCGCGCAGTGCTGAGAAAGCTGATCTCAACGGCGTCCATGTATGGGTCCATGTCTGGCTGCAGACGATGGGTTCTGTAGCCGGGGCTAGTACCGAAGGATCTGACAGGTCCACCGGAGCCGTGGCTAGAGGATAGGATATTCTTGAAGGCGCTGTCGAAAGAGGAGCCACCGCCGTTCCAAGAATGAGAAAGGATCGTGGATACGTCAGTATCCTCATCGCCCCGTGCGTGCGTTGCGTCGGCCAGTCGGCCAGCAACTCCGCACACAATACCTGAAGCTTCAAGCGGAAGCTTACGCAGGTCAAGCATGATGGGAACAAGGACCTCTTCCTTCGATCCCAAAAGAAGACTTGTATCGTCATCCGAGTCGGTGGCCGCTGATGAGTCACTTGAGAAGCGGGGGAGAAGACGCTTTTCAAGTAAGAGTGACGCCGCGGGGTCAGCAGCGGTTAGGGTGAGAGAGAGGAACCGTGGTTTGTCGACGATCAAAGCTGTCGTGAGGGCTTCACGGAGGATGGCAATGGAGCTTGTATCGCTCGTGTAGCGGTGATGCGCAGCGCATTGCACTAGACGCAGGGTTCTGTCAACGGATGGAACAATATGGTGCTTCCGCAGCGAGCTAAACGTGCGTGTTTGCAGTTCATCCAGCGATGAGGGTGGCGGAGTGGCAGGAGGGGAGCTCAGGCTGCTCGCCGACCGGGACGAGACGGGACTAAAGCAGCTGTTGAATTGGGATTGGTTGTTGTTGACGAAAGCCTCTGTTGACATTTCGAAATGGAAGCCACGCTTCTCCAAGGCTTCAATAACCTGGGTCTTGCTTCGAAGAGGCACGATGATGTAGTCGGAAAAGTACGTGGAGATGAAGAAGATAGAGCTACAGCATGTCAGCCAGAACGTTGCACAAATTCAAGGTCAGCTGCACCATACATTCCTGCCATGGCCAGCGGGCTCGTAAGCTCGAGGACTCGTTGGCCAGCTTCGAGGCCCTCCCCGTACACCTGCATGGCAATAAAATCATCATGGCTGATGGAGAGGCGGCTTTGGCCCGAGGAACTGCTCTGAACGAACTTGTTGACCAGAGGAGCGAAGTACTCATTAGCGAGCTGTCTGGGGCACATGATCGAGCATTCCACAGGGGTGATTGAGAAGTTCAAAAATGCCGGCTGGTGGCGTCTATGACCCTCTGCGTACCCATCATCGTCTTCCAGTTGGTTCTCGGAGATAGGAGGCACCTCATGGAAGAGAATCTGCATGATCGGATTCAAAAAGAAGGGGTATAGGTCTAGAGGGATATGCACCAGGGCCAGCCTGTCTTCCTGTATTTCGACAACAGTGGTCAGCAAGATTAGTCTACCAGGAGGGGATTCCATGCTGCTCCGCGTAGATTTGGGGGCATCGGTGCAGTGAAGGAGACGGCATGATGGCGATGGTACTTGAAGACTTACCATGAACTGGACCTGGGCAGAGATGAGAGATAATGACTGTTCCATCATGATTGTCGATATTCAGATGACGTATTTGCATCAGAAGATCGGGATCATGCACAATCAAATGAGTGCGAGTTCAGTGTATGTGACAAGTAGTAGTAGTTAAGGTGCTCGAATCAGCTGCCGTCACCAATTTCCGCAAACTCAGGCGACAGACTGATTTTAGTGATGCCAGGTGGATACAAGGCAGAGCATACGAGAAGAGTTAAAAGGAGAAGTCACGATCGGAAGTATGATGATGATGTGAAAGGCTGGCACCAGGCAATACAGAGTGAGGCAGGTGAACGGGACCAGTAATGTGTGGCGCAGGGCAACTCGAATCCTCTGGTGACAGCGTGAGTGGTCGGTGGGTTTCTTTATGCTTTTCTTTTCTTTTTGCGCTTGAGAGTTCTGGATGGCAGACAGCTTGCTTTCATTGTTTTCCAAACCCCCTTGGTTACGCCATTGTTTGAAAGAATGATATCAATGAGAGCCAGCACGCAAGAAGGGAGGAAGATCTAATCAGAGAGAGATGGTGCGGGATAGACGCAAGACGGGGGATCGGGTAGAGCAGGGAAAGTGGAGGATGGGTTGATGACTGAATAAGACAGAATAAGGAGGTAGTAAGAACTGGAGAGTAGGTAGAAGGGAGAGAGGAAGGTGTAGTTGAAGTTGAAGTTGTCGTGGTGGTTGATTCTCGAGAGGGGAGAAGAAGAGAGAGAGCAGGTGACTTGAGCTTCTGGTCTTCTTCCTGCACTTCCTCTTTTCTCTTTCTCTCCTCCTCACTTCTAATTCCTCGGCAAGTCTTGGAAGTTCCCCTTTCTTTCCTGTCTCACTTTCTCTCAATCCCTTTTGCTTCAGACTGGTTCAATTACCTGTCTGTCTCCAGTTGACTTTGAAAATGTTACACTTCAACCGCCACACCGGAGATCCGCTCAAAGACCCGGCGGAGTCAGCCTTCCCAAGGTACGACACCGGGGAGTCAAAAAAAAGAAGAAAAAGAAAAGAAAAAAGAGCTAAGGCACAGTTGACAGATGAGGGGAAGGAGAGGGAAAAGAAAAGAAAATAAAATGAAAATTAGAAGCGATCTGATTGAGCACTGACTGATTGGCGGTTTAGGCACGTCGTCTGCTTCTTTTGCACGCCGCCAGAATGACTCCTCTTATCCAGACTTTAAGAGCAAAAGATCAGACGAACCTTTTACCTAATAATCCATCCGTGGGAACACACCCAAATCAGCGTCTCGGCTTTATCTCCAGCTCCACCGACCCAGCACCTTATCAGCAGCACCAGCAAATCCCCTCGATCGCCACCCCGCGCTAGGCGCCGGTACCGACGTTGCCCTGTGCTCTCCGGTGCATCATTCAGGCGCACGGATCGAGCATTAATCTGATGGCTTATGTCTGGCGCGAGCAGGATTCGACGGTCAGAGCGAGGCAGGATTTCCTCTGCTGCTGCTCATCGGCTCCCCGCACTTTCCAGGGGCAAGGATGTTGTGCGATGAACGTGTGGGAGTGTAAGCTAGTCAGGCACCACGGTCGCTCCAGTTCCATCCATCCGGTCACACAGATAATCCTGCATTGCATCGGAGAAGCACAACCATGAAGTTCGTAGATGAGGCACTAATCAAGCAATTTACTACTACCAAGTATTAGACTGAGGGGAACGTCGGAATGGGCTCATGGTCTCGTTATCGCTTCCACCAGGCGCCAGCACCAGCACCATCAGCAAACACGGTTACGGTGTACTCTAGCAGTGGATCTTGTTCCATTCCGGCATGACCAACGGAACAACGGCTATGGATACAACTGAACTGACGGGCCCCTAGGGCATAAATTCAGGTGCTATTGCAGCGAACTTACCATCAAAAAATCTAGCCATTCAGAACCCTGGTAATGGCAACCCAAGGATGAGACTTTTCTCATTTTCATAACTTTTTATCCCTCCAGACAAGACACGATCCTCCCATTCCCAGCCCGGACTCAAATCAAGCCCATGCAACCCACCACTTACATCCCGACCTTTAGCCACTCTCTCTTATCTTGGACCCTCGGATCAAACCTACCGACCCCCCTCCGAATCGTTCATCACCACAACTCTTTCCCAGCCAGCCAGCTAGCCAGCAGCAGCAGCAGCGTCTCTCCTCCAATGCGCTTGGAGCGCTACCACTTAGAAACTAACCCGATCGTCAGTATCCCCTCCTCAACAGCAACAAAGTTCCGAGGGTGGCCATCAATCTCAAACAAGATGACTCGCAACTGCGCGGGTCATTGGCTCTCGTTACCTGCTCGATTAGATCAACGCTCCCCAGCCCTCCTGTACGTCGTCGATTTGGGATGTCCACCATCCAATCAGTTTGGTTATCCGGCTGATCGACCCGACATCTTGTGGTCTGATGTCTGCATGCATGCATACAGTGAGAGTGTTATACCATTGTAGTTGTGGCCTGAGTACTCCGTAGATCCGTCATTCAATCAGCTCAGCCACTCACCTCTATAACAGCTATGATTCGTCTACTTGCATCAGGTCAGATCACTGACTAGATGATACACAGCACAGTAACAGGCAGACACCATACACTAGGTAGGTAGTAATGACAACAGAATGAATACCAACAATAATAGAGTCTCTCATCATACAAAACAGCAACCACCACCACCACCATCACCAGCCATTTCTAACCATATCCATCCCCACCCTGAAATAGTAGTCATGTTCACAAAAAGAACCCACATCCAAATCACTTGATCCCCAACTTCCAAGATTCCCTTCCTCTTCCACACACACACACACACACACATCCAACAACAAAAGTCACCCTATACCCATCCATCATCACCCTCGTATACCTTCATTTCCTTGTTTTTTCTTCAGTAAGTAAGTAAGTTAGTCACTAACTTAGTCCCAAGTATAGTAGTCACTAGTTACACCCCAAGTCGTGTGACATGAACATCCTACACCAACCACCACACCATCAACAGTACGTACATGCTGATCAATCCTCTACTTACTACTACTTCCCTCTCCTCCGCAGTACGTACATCAATGATTGACATGAACAATGTGGGTCATTCCGCATTCGGGATTTGATTCGGGATGGCAAGAAAACATCAAGTTATTATCGTGTCTTTTGACTCAAATATCCACTTCGTAGACATCATTCATTCATTTATTCGGAATAAATATACCACTACTAGCTTTTTACTAAGAATACTGAGGAGAGGTTAAGAGACTATCTTCGGATGGAAGTACCGTCCTATTACAATTTGTCTTGGTCTATAGTGCTCTATAGTACTACTTAGTATCTTAATTTGTTTAATAGTATAGTGTGGTGGCGATGTCACATATCCTGCATGCAACTATTCATTCTCCTCATAAGTACAGTAGTCATAGATAGGAAAACGACCGAGTCTCCTACTACGACTACTACTAGTTCAATCCTGTTTTGAATCTACTCTACTCTACTTACCCATGATAAGCAAGCGCATCCACTCCACCAACCCGTCTAGACTATCATATGTAGAACAGAGTAAATCACCACTTTTTGCATTTTTTCTTCTGCAACACTAAAAATGAACGGAAGAGTATAAACCGGTGAACACACAACGCCCGCAGCAATGCACATAGTGAACCCCCTAAGCAAAGAATAAGAAACCATTTGAGTACAGTTGAACAGCGTACGTAGTAGGTAAATATCTAACCCCGCCATATGTTAAAGTGTAAAAATAATAGAGAGTAAGGTATAGCTATTCACACAAACAACACAATTAATCATCATCGACACGCGCCCGTTTGGATCCCCGTTCCGAACGGTCGACTTCCTGGATACCGTAGCGCTTTTGGCCTGCACCGGAGCTAGTGACGTCGGCGATCATGCTGTCGATGCCGAAGGGGTCGGTGGTGTCTTTTTCGAATTGCACGGGGCCGTCACGAGCCTATACGGAATGTCAGTTGTATACTTCTTGAGTAAACTTAGGTGTAAGGGGGAAGGTCATACCTCAGCTATGTCAGCACCGCGGAACCCTTCCTTCGCTCTACCGAGCACCTCGAACCGATTCTGTTTCTGAATCTTGCTCATCTCACCCTCGGCGCCTTCGCCGTCATCGTCATCAGCCTGCGCCCGTGGACGGTAGATGCTGTTAATGGCGTCCTGCGCGGCAAACAGCGGCTTGTCGTACGGGTTATCCTCGTTAAAGCCCGAGTCCATGCCGCTGGTCTGATTGAACAGACGCGAGTCATACATCGACTCGGATGCCTGCGTCGGCTTGGCCAATCCCAGGGCCACCTTCTCGGAAATATCCCGGTTCTGCTCGCGTGCCATCATCTGGATACGTCTCTCCGTACCCATCCGCGACTGACGGAGCTGTCTCTCCGCCTCCTGACGACGCTCACGACGCATGCGCTCGCGATCCCGAGCAGCATCCTCATCCTCACTAGCCGAGTACGGCGACGGGCTGCGGCTGACACTGCGCGAAGGCGAGCGGGATCCAGCACGAGAATCGCGCCGACTGCTACTAGCAGCTGCACGCTCCTCGCGGGCCTTCTGAGCCAACGCACGCAGATGCTCCTCCTTCTGGGCCTTCTCCTTCTCCGCCAGCTTCTGCTGCATCTGAGCACGCAGCCTGACCTCCTCTCTAGCATGACGATCCGCCGTGAACAGCGCCTCCGCAAACTGCGCGAACTTATCATTGATCGACACATCCTGCAGTCCACGTCCATCAGCCGCCAACCGCTTATCCAACGGAACCGTGTAACCCTTAGGATTCTTCCAATTCGACACCGGCGGCGGGATCCTCCACGCTTCCTGATCCTCAGCCGTGAGCTTTCTCGGCGGCGAATGCATAACCGGCGGAGGCGGCGACGGCGGACCACGAGGGATCTTCTTATGCTTGAACTTCGGCGGCTCCATAGGATCCTGCTGTCTCTCGACGATCTTCATAATACGATCATTCTTCTTCGACGTATCACCCATCTGATTAGCCGGCGTGTACCTCACAAACGTAGGCTCCGCTCTCCGTCCACCCTTC